ATCAATGTTGAAAACAGTTGTGCCGCTTCATATTTTTGTGGAAACCATTATACTTTTTTTCAGGATTTTTTTAATTCATTTTAAAGAGCAGCATTTATTTGAATTAGTAATCTTTTGTAACATGAATGTCTTTTGTTGTCATTTTTGATCAGTTTAATGCATCCTGATTAAAAGTAATAATTTCTTTCAAAAAAATAAAATCTTACTGACCCCAGACTTTTGACAGTAGTGTACATCGTGTGAAGTGGCAAACAAACCTGTATTTGATGAAATCCTCCCTAACTCTGTCTCTCCTCTGTCAGACTGTGAACCCCATCCTGATCCTCACCCTGGTGCCTATTATGGACCGGTTAATTTTCCCTCTCATCCAAAAGTGTGGCCTCAATTTCAGGTATGACTTACTACGTAATAGGACATGATTGATCTCTTGGCATAACTGCAGTGAGAGTGAATCTAATGTGAATGTGATGTGTGACTCTATTCTCTGCTCCAGCCCTTTGAAGAGAATGACGGTTGGCATGCTGTTTGCTGCCATGGCGTTTGTTTCTGCGGCTCTGGTCCAGATTGAGATTGATGTGAGTGTGAAACCTGTAAATCATATTCATGTCACTGAATGGAACAGATGTTCATTAGGACATTTCACTTTTCTCCTCAGAAAACATTGCCGAATTTCCCATCATCCTCTGAGAGCCAGCTAAAGGTGGTGAACATATACAACAGAACATTGAATGTGACCATCTCACCCAACGAACATCTTCTGATAGACTCATTTGAGGTACAACACACATTCAGACACACATTCTCAGCTATTTCACGCTGCTTGTAGCCTAACAGAACCTCACTGAGATGTGTGTTTTTATAGAGCAGTGCAGATTACGTGACGCTTGACCATCAGAACATCACAGTGTCCTTGAACACAAACCCTGTGATCATTAAAGCTTTCAGTTTAATCAAGGGGGGGCGGCAGACCCTGATCATCCCCTCTGACCCAACCATCATGTATATGGTGAGTGTCCACCAAGCAAATATGGTCAAAAAC